ATTGGTGAAGAACAAATGGAGAGATTTGTGAGACGTGCACTTGATTCTGATGGGACACACAGCTTCTTCAGATATCTGGCATCAAAACATTTGCTGACATGGAATGGCTTGCCCCCTCAGCAAGTTCGCAGATGACACTAAGCTGGGGGGACAGGTAGATATGCTGGAGGGTAGGGATAGGGTCCAGAGTGACCTAGACAAATTGGAGGATTGAGCTGAAAGAAATCTGATGAGGTTCAACAAGGACAAGTGCAGAGTCCTGCACTTAGAAGAGAAGAATCACATGCACTGCTACAGTCTAGGGACCCACTGGCAAGCGGCAGTTCTGCAGAAAAAGACCTGGGGATTACAGTGGACAAGAAGCTGGATATGTGTCAACAGTATGCCCTTGTTGCCAAGAAAGCTAATGGGCATATTGGGTTGCATTAGCAGGAGCACTGTCAGCAGATCGAGGGAAGTGATTATTCCCTTCTATTCGGCACTGGTGAGGCCACATCTGGAGTATTGCATCCAGTTTTGGGCCCCCCATTACAGAAAGGATGAGGACAAATTGGAGAGAGTACAGCAGAGGGCTATGAAAATGATTAGGGAGCTGGTGCACATGACTTATGAGGAGAGGTTGAGGGAACTGGGGTTATTTAGTCTGCGGAAAAGAAGAGTGAGGGGGTTTTGATAGCAGCCTTCAACTACCTGAAGGGGGGTTCCAAAGAGGACGGAGCTAGGCTATTCTCAGTAGTGACAGATGACAGAACAAGGAACAATAGTCTCAAGTTGCAGTGGGGGAGGTCTAGGTTGGATATTAGGAAACACTATTTCACTAGGAGGAGGATGAAGCACTGGAATGGGTTACCTAGGGAGGTGCTGGAATCTCCATCCTTAGAGGTTTTTAAAGTCCGGCTTGACAAAGCCCTGGCTGGGATGATTTAGTTGGTGCTGGTCCTGTTTTGAGCAGGGGTTGGACTAGATGACCTCCTGAGGTCTCTTCCAACCCTAATCTTCTATGATTCTATGGTCAAGACCACCAAATTTAAGTCTGGCAAGGGAGGGACAATCACAGCAGCTATCAGCCCAGATATTGTCTTCTGTCCTTAGCAAGATACAGAGATGATGTTTCAGAGGCGATAGTTGTTAGTCACCCAATAGGATCTTTGCCTATTTCCCTCTTCCAGGCTGATGGAACAATGGGAAGAACAAACAAAGCTGATTTAGGACATGAGCTAGAAGCTGAAGCTGAATGAATCCATGAGCTAAGAGCATGCAACAAAGAAACCACAGTGTACATGAGGGATATCACAGCTGTCACACAAATGATGGCTGGAGACAAATTCCACACATTTGATAAAACTGGCTGCTGAGTACTTTAGGCAGGTCCTAAACGGTTTGACAAAGCTAATTGTGTAATCAAAGTCTTTGACAGACGACAACAGTAACTCTGTGAAAACTGCAGAAAGACAGCCCCAGACAGGATCTAAGGTTGGATATAAGAAATGCCAGGGGGTTGTGTACGCCCTGTGCCTCCATGGAAAAAATTTCTAAATGTGGCATCCAAAAATCACTTATAAAAGTCCTCTATGAATACATGGGTCAAAATGCACTTGAGACTGTAGAAGCGCACCCAACACAAATACTCCTTCTTCCTGGAGGCTTTTCCGACAGCTAAGTAGCAAAGTCTGTCACTAGTAGATGTGCTGAAGAAGCCCAAGACTTGTAAAGTACTCAAGAGGAAGTGACAAGAGGATGCTTCTGCATGAGCTAATATGGATTTTTGGGTCTCTTGGAATCAAAGGAACCACAGCGATTAGCTCACCTGATACACCTGTTTTTGTCCTTGCTGGTCACTTTCCAATAAATGTAGCATATAGTTAATGCATGGCTTGAAATTGACACCATTACCAGCACAACTGACAAGCGTTGCTTCATATCTGTACATGCAATTTGTTATGCCCTCATTCCTGACTTCTGAAACAAATTTTCTGCTGTACACGAATTAATAGGATGTGACTGTGTCATGCCTATTTGAAATTGGGGAAAAACTCTGTTTAATGTTGTCAAAACAAAGGGAGCTTACCATTTCAGAGATCTTGCCAAATCAGGAGAAAATGACACAACTTCTGCAGCAAGACAATTGGTAGTACTGCTGCGTGACCAGAGGGAGAAGGAAAAAGGACTAAAAGAGACCCGGATCGCTTGTGCCTCAATCTAGGCTAGTCTAGAAAGGACAAGTCACTGACCAAAACTGTCCCACATGGTGGAAGTTTGAAGACCATATCAAAAGAGCATCTTGGTAAACAAAGATTTGGATGTCTTTGCTCATAGGTAAACCATATATTAGATCACCATTGCAACATGGATGGAAAAATGTGGATGATGAAGCACTTCCTGTATTCTTCAAGGGCTCAATGGCATCTGAGCTTCTACAAGATCTTATTTGTGCCCATACCAGTAGGGTCACTGCATAATCAACTGTGTCTGTAGTCAGAACAATCCTCCCTGCACATAACAGGGTACATACCAAGGCAATGAAGACTGTGATAAGCCAGAAACTCTTGACAGACATCATAATGAAGAACAAGATGATGATAATGATGTTGACTACAAATGTCACTGGCACGATTACATTTCAGTGATACCTGTACAAATTTATTATTAGATTTTGTTTTACTTTTTAGATTGTTCTTGCAATGCTTTGAGGTCACAAACAAATCCAGTTTTATGTCTTGAAATAATACATAGTCATTCAACTAACAAAAATGAATCAAAATATTTCAGTGGTCATCATTTTAACATGTTGATGTCATTGTTTATCCCCATTTCCATGGTAGTAGTACCATTTGTCAGCTCCATACCATACCTCATTGTAGCTGGGCAGTCACCCTGCTCTGGCCCTGAAGGGGTTAAAAGCAGCCATGGAGAGGGCTGCAGCAGCAAAAGGGATTAAGAACAGCTGGGGGAAACTGACCACAGGTGTGTCTGGCTTAATCGGGGCCCAGCTGGCCCTTATAAGAGGGCTGTGGGCCAGAAGCTGGAGGAGTCTTACTCTAGCCCTGGAGGGAGAAGGGCTGCCTGCCTGGGAACTGAAGGTGCCTGAGCAGGGCAAGGGCAAGGGCAAGAGGAGCTGGGGAGTTCCCACCTGGGAAAACCCCAGGCTGCAGGTCTTGGTGAAGGCCCACACAGGTGCTGGGGTTGCAGAGGGGCAGCCAGAGATACGCAAAGGCAGCAGGTCCTAACCCCTTGCCAATGATGAGTGGCCTTTACAGGCTGCAGTCTGCCCCAATGAACGGGGGCTAGATGATGACAGGCAGTAGCCACTGAGGCAAGGTGGGTTTAGAGGGTTGGAGGTTCCCCTGGGAGGGGAGACCCAGAGTGGGGGTACTGCTTGGGCAGAATGCCAAGGGAAAGGGGCACCGGGGTCCAGGAAGGACACTGGGCCAGCAGCAGGTGAGACACCAGCCTGCAGAGGGCACTCCACTGCTGGAGTTGAGCTAATTCCCTGGACAACGAGCAGGAGGTGCCGCACCGGTGAGTCGTCGCTTCGCTACACTCCTCATAGAGTAGACATAATTAACTTTTAAATAATGTATGATGTGCATGTGTGCAGAGACAGTACATTAAGTCAACCAAATTGGTGGTGACTGTCACTCTTCTAAAAGGAACACACCAAGTGCCCCAGCTGCTCACAACATTTACTCAGCAAATCAGAATGAACATGAACCTAATCAGTTTTACTCCTCTGACTCACCCAAATAGCTGCATGCAGACACACTCAAAAATCTGCTAATTTCTGTTGGGAATATATGATGAGAAGAGAGAAACAGGAATGACTCCTTTTAGTTTATCAAGAGCCAGCTTCACTCTGCTGCTGCGGAAAGTGCTACAAGCAGCAGTAGAAGCACCAACATGAAGGGAACAGAATGAATGCAACAAACCAAACAGAACAACGATGTGGGAAGTACTATAAAGAAAGGACTAGAAGAGAGGAATGGATAAGAAACAAAATATCAGGGGTGCAAGAAGGAAAAAAAGTGAACTGGTTACAAACTGGTTAAATGAGTTGAAGATTATCTGAGTTCCTGATATCAATTAAATTAACAAACATAGTTAATCTGATTGGTAGCTTAAAATGAAATGCAGGTATAAAATCTGCCTCACAAAATTTTGGAATCCTCTGCACTTCAGTACAAGTGTCATTTGTTTTACAACATGATTTGAAGTCAATGGGACTAAACTCAATTTTGAGAGTTTACAAGATCAGACCTTTGATTTGACAGCCAAGATGAATTTTGATTACACTACTGAATACTGACAATGTGCAACACAACAAAAAGGCTTTTTATAGTTATTTTTTAATTTAAATAAGCTTTTTATTTTATTTTTAATTGTAAAAATGAGCTGCCAAATTCCTGATATCACCCAGTAAGTGCCATGCTACCACACTGTTTCTCAGTGTGAATATGCATACAGAACTTTCATCAGGGTGGGCAATATTACTATATATTGTATGCGGGGGGGCGAGGGGAGGAACAAACCAGACTGTCTGTTGCCAAAGCTTTTAAATTAGAGAATTATGAAAACTTATTCTCTTGGTAAATGAAAGTTTCTTTTCATGCACTGAGTAAATATATGATTTATGGTAGATGGCTGTGGCAATTCATGTCAGGCACCTAGTAACAGTGTACAATGCACGACATCTAAGACTGTCAACAACATACCGCATTTTTAAATGCTTCTTGTTAAACGTTTGGCACTGGCAGATCTGAAGCGATGCCATAGCACTTATACAAATGTTGAAAAATTGCCACACCAGTGACAAGAGATTAAAGAGCCCACGATTGCTGAAACAAAAAGAATGGCCTGAGAACAAGAAATCTGACAAAGCACTGTAGAATCTTTTGCAGCCAGGACTCAAGTGCAGAAATTCGGAAAAACTCAAAGGAACAGAGTATGTATAGGGTAGGAATTCAGTACTGAAACATACTATCTCTGGATTTTTAAAACGTAAAGAATGACAGAAGTTGAAGATGAAGGCTACACAGAAAATTTATTTATGTTTTGTTTGTGCTTAGACCCGCTTAGTTAAACAGTGTTACCAAAGAGATTTTGCCCAGTCATGTTACCCAGTTACCAGCACAAAAACACCCAAAGAGAATACTGTTAGCCAAAAAGAGCCCGTAAGATGTGGGAAGTGCTCTTTCAAAGGATTTTATGGTTAAGAACATTACAATACTAAAACTGGGACATTATGGTTCATCGGTCTCAGTTTGACCTATTTCTTCCTCCCACTTAGAGAGAATAGTTATATATGTCCTACTACATTATAAGCAAACAACCGAGACGGGGAGGTGCTTTACTTTTTTTTCCAACGTAAGAAATCAAAACAGTGCATCACCATGAGCATCTTTATAAAAGCTCTAAACCTTGCAGCAACACTGTGAGCACATTAAATAGATAAGAAAACTGCTATGGATGATGTTTTTTATATATTCATTTTTCAGATAAATATTCAGCACCCTAAATAAAACTTAGGTAAGGAGTCTTTTAATCATTTTTAAAGGCTTGAAGAGCAGTCCCTATATGACATCCACTGATACTCTCTGCTCATGATATCAAACACCCAGCACTGAAGGATGAAGCTGCCTTTCAGAAAAGATGGCAAATCCACTTTCTGCTCCAAATTACACAGGTTAGTAGACTTTTTTATTTATATTAAATACTAAAATTGAATAATACAATTAGTGAAGTAGCCCCCATGTTTAGTTTGATATTATATTAAATTCATCTTATTCTCTCGCCACAATTTCAATGTGCTGCACATATTTATATACATAACTGCGTGAGACAAGTGGTTGGAGGAAATTGCTGGTTTTGGCAACTGGGTAAAGTTGGCACTTTTGGCACTCAAGCATGCATGGGTTACGCTTTGGGAATGCTGCACTCCAGCAGGATATTTCTGCTAATATGATCAGCAATGAAACAATTAACAGTGTAGATATGTATAGTGTCATCTCTGTATTTCAGAGAACCCATTGGGATTACTCAGGGCAGTTTACACTCCAGTTATTGTTTCAGCGTCTATGCAGAATCAAGACAACATCACTGCATCAGTTTTCATTCAGTTTGTATTTTTAAGGTTTTCTTTGCAACCACTAGGTGTAAGAAACTTTTTCTCCTAAGGGAAAGCTTCAATTCTGAAGCACAATTCTGTGATAATGGGTGGATTCCAACACCAATTCTACAACAGAAGAGCCAGCATCCTACATATGACTTACAAGGAGAGGCTGAGGGAACTGGGGTTATTTAGTCTACAGAAGAGAAAAGTGAGGGGAGATTTGACAGCAGCCTTCAACTATCTGAAGGGGGGTTCCAAAGAGGATGGAGCTAGGCTCTTCTCAGTGGTGCCAGATGACAGAACAAGAAGCAATGGTCTCAAGTTGCAGTGGGGGAGGATATCAGGAAACACTATTTCACTAGGAGGGTGGTGAAGCACTGGAATGGGTTATCTAGGGAGGCGGTGGAATCTCCGTCCTTAGAGGTTTTTAAGGCCTGGCTTGACAAAGCCCTGGCTGGGGTGATTTAGTGGGTGTTGGTCCTGCCTTGAGCAGGGGTTTGGATGTGATGACCTCCTGAGGTCTCTTCCAACCTTAATATTCTATGATTCTAAGACATTACTCAGGACCTGGCATATTCTGTTGCAAAGATGCAACATTAAATCAGATTGATTGTTTTCATGTGATATTTTACTACACTCCTAAATCTTTCAGGTACTTTCATAAGGTACAGAATTAATGTAAAAACCTTATTTTATTTTTTTAAGAGCCAATTGTGTAAGTGTGCACCTAAATATTTACAGCATTTTGTTACAGCAGTGATTTTTCATTATTTTGATTCCTGAATCTAATCCATTTGTGTTGCCAACCTACTGTGAAGTGGTCTATGCTATGCTTTGTTCTGATTGGCTTTCACTTTTCAACTAAGTTTGTTTTTAAAACTAAGGTAAACAATTTTGGACAATGAAGAAAGTTGAGGGAAGAAACATTAGAGATTTTAAAAGTATATGGTCACAAATAAAAAAACATTTCTTCAAAACTATTGTGCAATGATATCTGAGAGCTATAGATGTACAGTAATGTATAATAATCTCTCTTCAAAACAAAAATGTACATTACCATGCCATGGTCAAATGTGAAAACACCAACATCACGTCCATGATGAATGTGATTCCGTCTGATAATGGGGTTTCCATGGTTTTTAACCCAAATTCCTGCTAATGCATTATTGGAGATCTCATTGTCCTCATATATTCCCTGGCAAAAAGTAAGTAAAAAACAAAAATCAACAGTAATAAATAGTTCTACAAAACTTAGGGGGAAAATTTGAAATAGAAAGTACCTGTGCATGATCGGTAATATAAAGTCCAACATTTTCACAGTCGCTGATGTTACAGTGTTTGATAGTGGGACAAGCTCCCTGGCCACTAACACATACTGCAGAGCCCACTGGAAGAAAAGTGTACAGTTATCAAAGATTCAAAGTATAGTGTATTTACAGATAGTTTGGCCCTACGTTTACAAGAAAACATACAGTATGCACTGGCATCTAAAATGTATATTTTAAACATGTAGCATTCATTTAATGCTTTTTATTAAAGCAATGAAAAACAGACAGGAAACTATTACCATCCCCATTTTGCAGATATGGAAGCTGAGGCAGAGAGATTTTAAGTCACATGTCAAAGGTTACACGAACAGCATGTCACTGGCAGAATGGGCAATATTTTGTGTATTTATTTAAGTTAATAAAAAATAGTTCATCCAACTTTTCACACCCTCACTGAAGAATATGCAAAAGAAAAACACAAGATACAACAAAACTCTCTACACTCTCTCAAGACTGCTAACTATTCCCCCACTTTAGTCTATTTACACCCTCAGCAATCTATCACCTTCAAGGGTCTGGGGCAATCAAATATTTTGTACCATGCCAAGATCATCAACAGAGTATGGCAATGTCTAACTAATGGGGAGGAAAAGCAGGCTCCAGAGTAAGGGGCCCCCTTCCAAAGACACCCTTCCACTAATCTTCAATAGGGCCAAGATCTCATCCATGATGTCTGGTAAGCAGACATCAATAACAACTGTTATGCACTTCCAACATAAAACATCACTATCCAAACAGACAAGGTCACTCTGTACCAGCTGTAGTTTCTAAATGATCTTCAGGAATAGCTTTACATATACTGCATGGTAATAATTTCAATCTCAAAGCGACTAAAGCATAGATAAACTAGAGCAAGGTCTGCATCCAAAAGGACAGGTTCTAGCCAAATATAATTGAGAAGGAAAAATGTTCATGACTAAGTTTTGTGTTGCATATGGACAGAAAAACATTATGTTCACTGCAATTATCCCATTTCAGTAACAGTGTTTAAAATTAATTTAACAGTGAAGAGGACACTAACCTGTACAGGTACTTCGAATGATACAGTGATCTATTATTGGGCTGCAGTTCACGGTAATCTCTAAGCAGTGGTGTGCATTGTGGTGCTGAGCAGATTTGTCATCAGGATTGAACTAAGAGAATAAAATGTAATGTTTTGATATTTTTTAAAAAAGCATAATTTTGGAAATTATTAAAAGTTCTACTCAGGTTGCTTACCCTGATTGTCATATACCCAACGTACGCATCTTCAGAACCCTCCATAAAAACGAAGGTGGAATCTCTAGTGTTTTCTATTATGACTTTATCTGCTACTTTTCCAGGTGCTGTAAACCAGAAGTTATTATAAAAGCTTACTCTTTTCCTATGAAAACTGAAAACAAACATTTCAAGTTCTACAAGTGAAAAAACAAATGCAGATTCTCAGGCATATTTACATTAGGAGCGCTTTACCATATAGGAATATTGATATACTAAAAGTGCTCCTAATGTGCACACAGCAATACCAGTAAAGCTGTGCTTTCCACTGGCACAGTGAAACCACTCCCCATGAGCAAAACAAGATATTCTAGTAACAGTGCAGTTTTGCCAGTATAGTTGTTTACCACCTTCTGCCAGTACAGCTGTGTCAGCCATGGGTGCAAAGAGGATCCCTGACCTAGCTACACCAGCAGAATTCTGTTGCATAGATGTGGCCTTAGTTTAGATGCAGTTACACTGGCATAAAAGTGCCTTTGCTAGTATAGCTTATGTTGTTCAGGGAAGCACTTTTTACTGGTGTAAACGCCACACCTAATACTAGTATTAAATATATACCAGCAAACCTTTTCTAGTGCAGACTTGGCCCTGGTGTTCTGACTTCCAATTCCCTATTCTAACTGTTAGGAAATTGTTCCCCATTAAAATAAACCAGAAATAGATAATTCAATATAGTGCATACGAAAATAAAACTGATTACAAAATACCATTTAAGTTTTAATAAAAAATTAGAGAGACAACTGTAACATATTTGGGCTCAAACTTGTACTATAGTAGAACAGTTACAACCTGGTGCTGTATATGGTCTGGATTCTAAATCTTTTTATTAAGACTAAATACACAAATTCAGTACACCATCACATAGTAGATCCTTGCTAATACATGCATGTTCTTTACAATTTTCACAAAACCAAAAAAGTGGTATCTCCTAATTTCTCAACATACATACAGAGTGCTGTAGGAAAGTCTATTTTTATACTTAATGTACTAAAAGTTTATTACAGTTTAAAACTGAACTACAGTTCAGAATAAATAAATGTTAAGCTTTTCAAAATAAGTGTTAAGAATGTTTTAAAATTGCTAATCTACAAGATGCAATAACTTGAAATATGAATAGCAAGCTTCTTCAGCATTCTTTATACTGAGTCTGACAAAAGTGTTTTGCATGCTACTGCTGAAGAGCCAGCAGAGGGAGCACAAGTTTAAAAAAATATTTTTATAGCTGAATTGACCTCAGTGATGTTGGTGCTTAAGAACAGTAGTAAACAAGAGAGCCAATTTAATGTCACCACAAACCAAAACTGAAATAACTAAACCAGTTATAATTCACACTTTTAGTTATTTTGGTACAAGTCTGTATGGAACACTCTTATTCAGAAATAAGGGCTTGTCTACAGTGTTTATATTGCTATAACTATATCAGTTTAGAAACCTTTATGCAAATAAACTATACTGATAAGCACCTTTATAGCAGTAAAACTACATCCACTCAGGACGGTTGTACCACTAACTATATCAATCCAATATACTTACAGCAGTACAAAAATATGTTTAGACTAACCCTAAGAATGACCACTCAGATTTGCATCAAAACGATTAGCTTGACGGAATATTACAAACAACTGAAGAAAGAAAGAAATTAAGCACTTTAGTATTCTTTGTAGCTCTACAATACAATGGAATTGCTAAGTAAACAGGAGGAAGCTACTTCTTAATCTCTTCCCCTGAATCATGACCATACAGCTGTGCTTGTACAGCTATAGGAGAAGGAATCCTCCCCACTGTTCATGGAGAAGCAAGGACCACTATCCTTGAACCACGATCACAGTAGTGGTATTTCAGCTGCAGGAGTTCCTGCTGCTGTGCTCCCCTGAATAGAGTTGGTGAATTCACACAGCAGCAGATCAATCCATGCCAACTGCAAACCTTGCTGTATACACAGAGGTGAAGGAAGCCAGAGAGCTCCCCTCAGTTATACAGTACCCGGGA